ACTAGCAGACAACTTTAAGGCAGCCAACAACACGCTCCGAAGAAACCTGCGCCAACTAAAGATCAATGGTGGTGATCACAAATGGTGGTCGCAGAAAGCTAGACAGATTCAGGAGTATGCCACGCACCACGACTATCGTAAATTTTTCGAGACTGTAAAAGAAGTATACGGTCCAACTAAGAAGGCAAGATGCCCAATCATGGCACAAGATGGCGAACTTCTAAAAGAGGAAGAGCAAATCAGAAACCGCTGGAAAGAGCATTACAGCCATATCCTTAACCAAGAAAACAACCCCAATATGGAAGCACTCAACATAATACCTCAGTATAACAGCCTCGATGTATTAGACATTCCAATAACAGAACAGGAAATAAAGGACTCCACAAAACAGCTTAAAAACAACAAATCAGCTGGCTGTGACGCGATTCCGGCGGAAATCTATAAGTGTGCAAGTAAAGAACTTATTGGTCATCTTAAGGCTCTCTTCGATGTCATATGGGAACGCGGAGAGGTACCTCAGGACTTTTGCAACGCGAATATAGTGAATATATTTAAGAACAAAGGAAGTGCATCAGACTGCGGAAACTACCGAGGAATTTCACTACTGGCTATCGGAGGAAAAATTCTTGCAAAAATTATGTCAAACCACCTGCACCCACATATAGAAAAAATCCTCCCAGAATCGCAAACGGGTTTTCGCACCAACCGCGGTACCGTCGATTCCATATTCTCCATCCGCCAACTACAGGAAAAAGTAAAAGAGCAGCAGTCTAAACTTTACGTTGCATTCATCGATCTAACAAAAGCCGTCGACTCTGTGAACAGAGTTGCACTTTGGACAATTATGAAAAAGTTCGGAGTACCCAACAAATTTCTTACAGTGTGTAAAAGCCTCCATAATAACAACAAATCAAGAGTGTCATATCATGGTTCACTGAGCGATCCCTTCCTAACAAACACAGGCGTTAGGCAAGGATGTGTCTTAGCGCCTCTCCTATTCAATATATTCATGGCAGCGCTCTCCATTATAGTAGACAGCAAACTGCAGGAGAGAGGTTTAGGCATTAGGTACAGATACGACGGCGGTCTGTTCAACATAAAAAGACTCAGGGCAAAAACACGTACAAAGTTCATCAAAGAACTTCAATACGCTTATGACTGTGCTCTAGTTGCAAATACGGTACAGTAATTGCAAGAAATGTTGAACACATATACATGGGCATATGAGGCTTTGGGACTTAAGCTGAACATCGATAAAACTAAAATCATGTGCACTCCCCCGGAAGATTCAGAAAAGGCCAATATCGACCCTGAAATTCAGCACAGGATTAGCAGCGCCTCAAGAGCATTCTGGAAATTAAAAGACAGGGTTTTCTACAATCATGACTTGAGCACAAAAACGAAACTTGCTGTGTACCGAGCAATAATAATTCCCACCATGTTATATGGAAGCGAAACCTGGGTGCCGTACCGCCGACACACGAACGTATTAAACAAGTTGCAACAGAGACATCTTAGACAACTCTTAAGAATAAAATGGTTCCATCATGTCTCAAACGTATCGGTCCTTGAAAAAGCTAACTGCGAACGAATTCAAGTCAAAAGAAAAGTATTGAAGTCATGATTACAAAGTCCCGCTTAAGTTGGGCTGGTCACATATGCAGAATGCAAGAAAATCGCATACCAAAATCTCTGCTTTACGGTGAGCTTGTAGACGGTAAGAGGAGGCCGGGTGGACAACTCAAAAGGTACAATGATATTTTCCAGGAAAACTTAAAGGGAATTAACAAGCAGAATGAGTGGGAAGAAGCAGCTCACAATAGAACGGAATGGAGAAGAATTGTAAAGTCAGTTAACAGCGACAACCAAAAAGTAAAGATGCTACAAAGCAATGAGATTTTTGAATGTTCGGAGTGCGGAAGACAGATAACATCACGTATCGGGCTTTTCAGTCACAGAAAAGCTCATGAAAGAAAACGCCTTGCATGACCATCTTCTGATGCGTGTCAAATACTCGTCAGCGAGTAATGGCAGTATGTATGTACTTTTGAGTTTACATCAGGTATAAATTCGTTGATTTAATTTATATTGTTAGTTTTTGCTGTACATTCATATTTTACAATAATCACATGCTTATAAAACTTTGCCATAATGTAAAAATGTACTTTTAATATATTTATTTTTCAATAAATGGTGGTCCATCTGCAAATTTTTTATTGCTTAAAATCTTTATTTTAGAAGTAAAATCTTTTTTCTAAAAATTATTTTTAGCTTAAAATCTTTGTTTTAGAGTATGCTTTCAACTGATTTAAAAAAGTAGTAAAAATTCAATAGTCCGAGATCCCAGAGCGATCTGACAACTTATTTTCACAAGGATGAAACCTTAGGCTCTCAGTAGTGCTCTCATGTGCTTTGAATATCGGCGTGTTTGGGGAGTTCGCCCTGTGACACCTTGGCAGATACAGGATAAGAAAGATAACTAAAAATAAGAGTTACTTAACTTAAATTTGTATGGCTGATTTTTGTATAAATATTGTAGGAATATTACTCTGAAGTAGTATCAAAAGTATCAGACACTTTCCATGGACCTGAACCTTTATAAGACGATAGCAAATCAAAAAGTGGATCTTTGATAAAGATAGACTTTATCAAAGCTTCACAAAAAATAAATGAACTTTACTGATTTTTACATGTCTGATTTTTACATATGTTATTAAGACAGCTATTATAAAATTATATTTAATCAGTCAGACAAATTGTAATGACCAAACATCCTCTAAACACAAAAATTATTCAGAAGTGACTATGAGCGCGGGAGAACAATGCGCATGCGTTTCCGAATAAAGTATTTAAGTATTATAAAAATACTGTTATTAAAATTTTTATTATACAAATACTGTTATAATATTCCGTGGGTCCACTAATTTAAACTCTAACGAATTAATTTTTCCCACTCTGTACACACAACTTATACTATTTACAATAACAATTTATGCAAATACTATTACTCTAACGGTTCTGGCACCTTCGCCAATTAATTCACGATTTAAAACGCGGTATTGCCAAACTTCATAAACTGTCCAACAGCCAAGCGCGGGCCTTTATATACCCCTACTGACTGTTTCTCGAACCTTCTGTAATTTTCGATACTTTTCCGCCATCTACCAGTAAATTCTATTGTCTGATTCGCTTACTTGTCGACTTGATTAAGAGATGGTGCCTAAAAATGTTTTTTACTTTTTGGTGAATTCGCCATGTTTTTTGACACGTTGCGGCAATGTAGGCAACCAGCAATACAGTTTAGCGCCACATACACGTTTACAATATTTCTGCTGCTTTCGATTATTTTTGCAACTCTATTTAAATAAGATGTACTTTTTTATTAAAGTAATAATTAATAATTATTAAATTAAATTAACTTATTGCATATAAACTACTCAGAACAATAATCGCATATTTTCTAAAAAAATATTAATTTGAAAAACAAGACAACTTGAATTCTCTGACTTACGTTTTTAAATAGTTTGGATACTGTAAAGGGAAATATTCGAAAATAAGTCTAGGGATGACATGCAAATTTTAGTTGACCAATTATTTAGTTGTAAAAGTGAAAACAATACATACTGGAACCGATCGGCCGAATATTATTTGATTGCATGTGAGCGCGGCTGCATAAGAACTCTATTGGTTACAAATCTGCAACTAAATAATCGGCCGATTAAGAATTGCCTGTCACCCCTAAACTTATTTTCGAATATTTTCCTTTACAGTATCCAAACTATTTAAAAACGTAAGTCAGAGAATTCAAGGTGTCTTGTTTTTCAAATTAATATTTTTTTATAAAATATGCGATAATTGTTTTGAGTAATTTATATGCAATAAATTAATTTACTTTAATAATGTTGCGGACCCGTGTGGACACGGCCTAACCTAACTAATATGTCCCGTCCCCATATGACCTGGAATCGCATTAAATAAGGGACACCGTAATGATCCATCGAACGTTCGAGAATAATCGAGTTCCACTGGAATGGAGGCGTACATAGGAGAATATAACTTCTCTATGCATCTAATGATCTAATGGACTATTCGAGAACTGTTTAGCTGTGGGTATATAACCCGAGGCCTGTGCAAACGAGAAAAAAAGAAACAACCGATCGTTCGACGTGTACAATTGCCGCGCTAAGTTCAAAATAAATTCCTTTTAGATAAATAGTTAGATAAATTGTAAATAAGTTATAAATAGTTCTTTAAGTAGTTTTATTGTTATTGTTTTGTTACTTAGTGTACAATAAATTGTATTTAAATAAATTAGACTTTCTATCCACCGACGAAAAACGTAACAATAATTATTATTATTTTAATAAAAAAGCTTATCTTATTTAAACAGAGATGCAAAAATAATCGAAAGCAGTAAGTATTTTTAAAATGTTTAAATACTTTACTCTGAAACGCATGCAGATAGTTCTCCCAGGCTCATAGTCACGGCTGAATAATTCTTGTGTTTAGAGGATGTTTGGTCATTACAATCTGTCTGACTGATTATATAGAACTTTAATGCTGTCTTAATAACACATGTAAAAATCAGACATGTAAAAATAAGTAAAGTTCATATATTTTTTGTGGAGCTTTGATAAAGTCTATCTTTATCAAAGATCCACTTTTTGTTTTGCTGTCGTCTGATAAAAGTTGAGGTAAATGGAAAGTGTCTGATACTTTTGATACTACTTCAGAGTAATATTCTACAATATTTATACAAAAATCAGCCACACAAATTTAAGTTAAATAACTCTTAATTTTAGTTACCTTTCTCACCCTGTATCTGCCAAGGTGTCACAGGGCGAACTCCCCAAACACGCCAGTATTCAAAGCACATGAGAGCACTACTGAGATCCTAAGGTTTCATCCTTGTGAAAGTAAGTTATGTCAGATCGCTCTGGGATCTTACTTTACAAAGGGTGTTATATATCTGACAAGCACCAAATACTTGTAATAATTACCTATTAAATCAATAGCATATACAGGTCTATCTTTAGCGATATCATCTAGATTTAAGCACCAAAATCCTAATCCGGCAGCAAAACCATGAAGCATAACAAGAGGAGTGTTTTGAGCCTGATCATTTAAAGCTATCGTCCATATTTGGTCATCTTTGCCTATTGTAGATCCGATAGACACAAACCATGTTTTGTAGGCAGATTTTAATACTATAAATAAATAATTTTATATAGAATTCATATTAAGACAAATTGCGCCATAGTTTGTGATTTAAATTATTGTTATTAATACTTGTCAACACTCATTTTACCTGTTAGTATCTTCGATTCGACTTCAATTAACCGATCTTCAGAATATTTCGTCCACCAGCCCCTTTTGTTACAATTTTCGCTCATTTTCATTAAAACTGATAAACTGAACCACACTGAACTAAGTTTTCATAATAATGAACAGTAATAACTGGACACATTCATTCAAAGGATATTTTGCCTATCATGATCGAACGTCATGTCAATATGAGTATATATAAGATTATTTTTATCCACGAACAATTTCGAGAAAATTACATGATAATTAAAAAGTGATGATCGCAATCACAGGTGATTAGGTGATGATAAATATAAATTGTTTTCTAGATGATAAACACATAAGATAAACATGGAACATGGACAGGGTTGCCAGATCTTTTTCACCAGAAAACTTCAGAACCAGAAATAGCCGATCGGATAAACAAAAGTAGCCCAAAGGAGCCGATTATGCAACCAGTGATACTTTTTCTTGGTAATATACAAAGTATGGTGTGTAGAGGTAAGGAGAAATAACTCCGAGCATTAAAAAATGGTCAAAAAAAGGGAAGAATTAGGATGGCGCTGCTGTAGCAAGATTCTAAAATTTAAGACATGCGCCGAACATTTTGGAACAGATGATTCAAGACATAAATCAACATAAATAAAATATACTGCGGCCTCTCCATAAGAGCAATGAGAGAATTTATGTCCCAGGATTGAAGGACAGAAGATCGAGTTTGACATAAGTCCATCCTTGTTCAGTAGATGGATGTAATGCACATGCGCCGAAATGCTACTTTTCTATTGGCCGAATGGTGTCGAGATGGGTTATCGATTTATTTTTGGACGCGTCGTCGGCGTGGATTTTGTTTTCAGTTTGGACTTGGGCAGTCGCCATTAGAGTTTACTCTAACTTTCTGTTTTCCACGTGTACTGTGTTTTCGTTTGTATTTTAATCTTTGTCGTTTATTGACAATTTTGTGATTTAGTTTTAAAGACTTTTGCTGTAGTTTAATTAATAGAACAATGGGAATGGGCTACTGCTTCTTGTGTGGTAGAAGCCAACTAACCAAATTAATAATAGAAATTTTTCTCGATGTTCGTTTGTATCATGAAAGCAAAATCAGAAATGAAAGGGATGTTAATATAAGACAAAAATATACGAAACTAATTTAATTCAAAAATCAATAATTGTTAAAAGCATTATATTTAGTCTTACTATTTTAAAATAAAAAAGACATTATAATGTAAAGACTAAAAATAGAGACTACATAAGGCTAATTCTAATGCTTACACAGTTACACACAAACTGTCTTATTGTAAATTATTATTGTTTATTTTTCATAATATAAAAGAGTATTTACAATGCAACAATGTAAATAATTATATTTTTTGTATCTAGCTTGATTTATGTATAAACTTAATATGTACATACTTTTAGTTATATTTGTTTAATAAAAAATATGTTAATAATAAAGAATTACTTTTGTTTCATTTTAAACCAGGACTGATGTTGATTATTGATCATAAATACATGGGCAGTAAAAGAAACAATAGACAGTAAAAAATGTACTGTTATACTTTGTTTTGCTGCAATTTTTAAGTCGAGTGAAATAGATATGCAATTTGTAATACTAAGTTCTTAAGACAGTTCCTTAATTGAGGTTTTACTAAATTATTTTTTGAATTTTAAAAAAAGTGAAATAGATATGCAATTTGTACTACGAAGTTTTTAAGACAATTTCTTAATAATTGTGGTTTTACTAAATTATTTTTTGAATTTAAAAAAAAAATATCGTACCTGTCACTTTTTTTCATTCGTTTTATTTAATAATAATTGTCTAACACAACAAAGTCTACTTAGAACGATATGATATAAATATAAATGAGTTCATTAAAAAATGGTCTGATTAAAATTAGTACCTAAATAAGCAAAAATTATCCCCTCATAAAACAAGAAATTAAGGAGTTCAGTAAAAGGATTGCAACTATATATTTTATTCAGTAAATTTTCATAATAGTAAGTATAAAAGCACAATCTCTAAAACGACAATATGAATAATGTATATTAAGATTTAACTCGAGTTTCAGTGAAAAAACTATATTGATATTAAAATATTTTAATACCTTCAGAATACTAATTACATACCATAAAATAGGAGTTTTTACGATGCGGGAAGCCTATCTAGAAAAAGAATTTTAGAAATCAGCAATGGGATTCTGTAAGCTCTGTAGCAAGAAATTTCCTATCGAGCCTATGCTATTTGTATACGATTGATGAGTCACTAGACAGGGAAATGTTTACAGAATCGCACTGCAGATACCTATTACGCTACTAGGAGCCCCCATTGTGAGACAGATATAAAATAATTTTATATACCTATTCCATAGCCTATTTTTTAAATGTCTGTAATATTTATAATAAACTTATTTTAACGAGTAGAAGTATTGCACCAGCATCAAAATTAACACTACTTGTAAAAACTGTTGCTCCTTGAGTTTGTAATAGATATAAACAAAATAAACATTCGAAAATAACTAAATCGAAGATATCTGAAAACTTTTGGTTGAAAAAGTGTTTTGCCATAACATGTTGGATACGATTAAAATATCTCAATTGATAAATATGCGCATAATGTTACATTATCAAACTTATTTGATTTCAGAATATTTAACAAAAAACTTCCAATTTTTCGAAAGATTTAATTCAATTATTAGAACGTCTTTAACCTCAACTTAAAATAAATAAAACCAAAACCAAGACCAAAACAAAACATATCATATGATTTGGAACTGTCCAATCAAAGTGCTTACAGATCGAGCAAGCGCAGAAAACCTCCTCCCGAACAAGGATAGACTTATGTAGGAAATGCATTGACATTCTATAGCCATCCTTCAACATCGGGACAGGAATTTAAGCGGTACTCTCCGTATAGACATAAATATTTGACGTGAAGCAAACGCGAAGCCGCGGGTTTAAAAAAAAATATAATTTTATTTTCATGTTGCATGAAATAAATTACAGATTTTTATTCAGCAGCAATAGACTAGGCCCTTTTTTTATTGTTTCTCATAAGTTATTTCGCAAATGTCATTCAAGACGACGAAAAAATATTCTTATCGTTTTAGCTTAAAATTAATGGTAATTATAATTAAGACAAATTTTATTTAAAGTAATAATTGGTGATGGGTTTAAAATAAATATAATACAGCTTTAAAATAACTTCATACCTACATTAATTTAGTATAAAAGTAAGCCAATATGTGGTTTTATTATGGATTATTCAGATATCAGAGCCTCTTTTTATTGTTTCTCATAAGTTATTTCGTAAATCTCATTCAAGATGAAAAAGCTTTAGTTTAAAATTAATGTTAATTATAATTAGGAAAACTTTATTAAAAGTTTAATTGATGATATGGGATTTAAATAAATATAATGCAGGTCAAAAATAACGTAACACGTTTATTTGGTATAAAAATTAAGCCAATATAATATAATTTTATACTGTACAAGTATTTATTTACGTTTTGCCATCGTAGTTGACATTCATTCAGAACAGTGGATTTTAAATGTTCGATAGTCGGATGGCTTAACTACCTTAATATCAACTACTTCTAGACAAGAATCGTGTGCAGTATTATCTTCTTTTTCACTACCAGCTATTCCAACATGGCTTGGGACGTGAAATAATAATATAATTTTATAGCCCTTCCAGATGCTCATGTCTTCCTTGTAGTTCACCCAATAGAATCGTTCTCGCAGCTTCCTCCCAAGTTGATAGTTGCTATTCATTCAGAATAGTGGATTTTAAATATATTTGGTAGTCGGATGGTTTAACTATCGTAACTATAACTACTTTTAATAATTCTTTTTCTCAATTCTTTGCACTATAATTTGCATCCCACGTATTGTAATATTTTCCTTTGAATTTCGTTTCCTATTGTTCCATGGCTTGAGACGTAATGTTATAGCCCTTCCAGATCCTCATGTATATTCTCTCTTAGCTTCCTCTCAAGTTGGTAGTTGCCATTCATTAAGAATAGTGGATTTTAAACATGTTTTGTACTCGGATGGTTTAACTACTGTAACATCATAAATAAATTGTATACCAACACATAATGGCCAAACTTCAACAGACTTTAATATTCATAAACCTCATCAGAAGAAAATATTTTTTGATCCAAAGTTTCTTTTCGTTATTAGAATAAATTACCTGCAATTTGTTAATTCATTACAACATTGAATAAAAGATGCAAAGTGTTTATACATACTATAATAGATAAATCTTCATTTTAAATTATGTGATAGATCTGCTTGCTTGTAGGATCTAGACTCATAAACTCAAAAATTTCTTTTATTGATATAACCAATAAAGTGGTAATGCTGAAATTTTGTTTTTGATTTGAACAGTAGGGTCCATTATTTCCATTATTTGATGCTGTTATTGCTCTACAAAATGTTGATCTTTATCAAGGGATGTTTATGTGTATAATATTATTATTTATGTGTATAATAATACTGTATGATCGAAAAAACACGGCGTCCAGTTGGCTTGGAAATGAACATCTCGATGACATTCTCCATATCCATTTACAAATAAAATGACAGCAATCTTCATTTCATAGGCATCGCTGACGCCGTTTTTTATTCGATCAAATTGTACTTACGTGTATAATATTCATTTAATGGTTCCTGTTTTAGTTGCTGGTGTTCATATTTTGGTTTTTTATTGTGTTGTTGCTCTACAAAATGTTAATATTTATGTGTATAACATTACTCTTTCTGTTTATAATAATACCGTATGATCGAATAAAAACGGCGTCAGCGATGGCTATGAAATGAAGATCGCTGTCATTTTATATGTAAATTTATATAGGAAATGCCATCGATCGTCATTTCCAAGCCAACTGGACGCCGTTTTTATTCAATCATACGGTACTTATGTGTATAATATTGGTGTCCAAAAAATCAAAATAAATGTTGATAGAGAATTGGGTCTCCATTAACACATTAACATCATTTAATGGTGCCCTTCTTGCTTGTTGCTGTTGTTGCAATTCAGAATTTAAATTAACCTGAGGCAGTAGGTAGAGCTTCATCCTCCAATATTTTCCTATGTAAATACTGAAGTGGACAGTATTTCTGATGACAATTTTATCACAAACTTTAACATCTTGTTCTTTAAAATGAAACTGCCATACCTTATCTGTAGATTTCAAAGCAATATCTAAATGCTTTTGACCATCACTGTAATCTAATTCTTGTCTGAAAATCAATACCTAATATTATCCTGATGATTTTGATTTTTTGATAGATTATTAAAATACAGCACTTACAGTTAACTATATTTCTTGAAAGTACCTACAATTTTATGAAAATTAAGCCATCATGTCCTTATCATGTCAACCTATCAATTGGAAAATTAGTTCTCCAGACGACAACGAAGGCTTTCGGTGGCGTATCGTGTTCCAATGATTTAACACAGAGTTGACACTTCTTTCTAGTTAATTATTTTATGAGGTGGGGATAGCCGAGTTCCCACGAAATTTTTGCCGAAGCGTTCCACAGCGTTGACGTCACCATCAGTGCACTTTCAAACACCGCCCATTTGAAATGTAGGGGCCATATGAAGGATTTTTTAATCTAAGCAATGAATATACTGGCCTTTTTTAAATTCTAACGGTGCAAGGCATCAGCATAGGACATCTATAAACCAAAAGTGTTTGGATGTTTAAAATTAATGGTTAACCATACCTAAAAGTCTGCTTAATAGTAGAGTGTAGCTGTAATAAGAGATTCCAGTTTAGTCATAATTATTTATATTGATTTGATTTTAATATTACATATTTCTTGTTCTTTAAAATGAAACTGCCATACCTTATCTGTAGATTTCAAAGCAATATCTAAATGCTTTTGACCATCACTGTAATCTAATTCTTGTCTGAAAATCAATACCTAATATTATCCTGATGATTTTGATTTTTGATAGATTATTAAAATACAGCACTTACAGTTAACTATATTTCTTGAAAGTACCTACAATTTTATGTATTTCCTACTTTTACCAATTAAAACAATACAATCCTCTATATTTTTATATTTATTTAGTCACGTTGTTCCATATTTCAAATAAATATATGTGAATAAATTATTTTTTCGTTTTATTTATGAAAAGAAAAAATACAAAATACATTTGAACTGAAAGAGGGCCCGCCATTGAATAACCGGAAACGGAAATGAAAATTAAGCCATCATGTCCTTATCATGTCAACCTGTCAATTGGAAAATTAGTTCTCCAGACAACAACGAAGGCTTTCGGTGGCGTATCGTGTTTCCACGATTTAACACAGAGTTGACACTTCTTTCTAGTTAATTATTTTATGAGGTGGGGATAGCCGAGTTCCCACGAAATTTTTGCCGAAGCGTTCCACAGCGTTGACGTCACCATCAGTGCACTTTCAAACACCGCCCATTTGAAATGTAGGGCCATATGAAGGATTTTTTAATCTAAGCAATGAATATACTGGCCTTTTTTAAATTCTAACGGTGCAAGGCATCAGCATAGGACATCTATAAACCAAAAGTGTTTGGATGTTTAAAATTAATGGTTAACCATACCTAAAAGTCTGCTTAATAGTAGAGTGTAGCTGTAATAAGAGATTCCAGTTTAGTCATAATTATTTATATTGATTTGATTTTAATATTACATATTTCTGTAAAAAATTAGATCTGTATCTGAGAATTTTGGTGTGCTAAGTAGTTTACATAATAATAGGTACATATTATACATACATTATAAATGTCATGTACATTATATACATAATAATTATTTATCTTTTCCTGAGTCCTGAGTGTCATTCATTGAATAACAAATTCCCTTTTATTAGTGGGTTTTGGGTAATGATTAAAACAAACATTTTTTATTTATATATTTATATATCACAAGAAATCGATTATACATAAGTTTTATTAATTAACTATTTTTTTTAACTTGCGAATTTTACTTCGGTTACTGTCGGTCATAATAAGTTTTCTCTTTAAATTTTTCTTGGATTGGGCCTGAAAGTTATTATAATTAATTCGAATTATAATTCTTAATTTACAAAAGCGGTAAATAATTTTAAATGGAATATTATCTTCCTTTCTCTTTATCTTGTTCGCTAACTTTTTCACTACTCCAGGTCCCAGTTTTATTATATCATTTGCATATTTTTCAAAATAAAAATTCCATTTTTTTACTTTATTGAGCCACTCTAAGGAAGGTTTAATAAGCCCACCAAATGACAATTGCTGTACCCAAGACGGAATATTATAAGAATGATCACTTTTTACTTTATATGTGAAATCTCCTAATTCAGGTTGATTTTCCTTATGCTTTTTAGCTAAATATCCTGCAATATACTCCAGTGCATCATCGATGGTTTCTGGTAAGCTTTTTTCTTGGTGTGTGCTTGAATTTGATGGATGTGCAGATACATTAGCGGAGCCTGTTGAAGAGAATGAACTGCTAGAATTTGAACTAATGGTTTCTTCCAATAATGTTGATGTATTTTTTAACTGGAGGTTCACTTTTTCCAAAACTGTGGGTGTTATATATTCTTCATTGGTTAATTCTTCGGTATTTACTTTTGCCTCTAGTATTCCTGCATTTTTCCCTAGAATTATCATGCGTATCCGGTATATTGCTTCTAATGGGCTGGGATGTTCATTTGGTCCTCGACAGCGAATTTGAGCAAAAAAATTTTCAAGTCCATCTTGATTAAGTTTATGCGTACAGATATATTGTATATCATAAGCAATTTTCATATCTCTAAATAACATTTGAAGCGCTTTTGTTGATATAATCATACCTTTTTGAAATATCTGCAAAGCTTGTTTACCACTTGCCCGCATGGAAGTAATTATGCCGATCATTTTTTGCAAATGCTCTTCTTGCATCCCTAAATTTACACCATAAGCATCTTTGGTTGGAACGGAACCCAATGACTAAAGAATATAAGGACATGTAACGCCCCTGTACGGGCTGTAGTAGAATTTGTGACGTTAGACGCCATTCGTTTGATGCCAAACAGTGAGTCATCATCCAGTCACCAGCGACAATTTTAGCGATTTTTAATAGTTTGTTGTGTGTAGTGAACTTTGTATAAACTTTGTTACAATGGTGAATTGTGTAGCTTTCAAGTGTAAAAAGTCACAGCGACAAGAAGAGCCAGGAGTTACGTTCATAGGTAAATAAACAGTCCACTCCAACTTTTTAGCGTTTTCTTATTGAATTCGATAATTATTCTTCAATTTCAATTAACATCTATATGTACTTGATATGTGCTATACGTCGATACTAGTTTTGTACCTTTTGTTAACATTTTAGTACGTTTTTTTCGTAATTAGTTAGGATGATACACCATAGGCGTAGTCAAAACAATTATCAAAAAATATAAATATTGCTTCAAACAGCTAGGTTAAGAAAAATATGTGCCACGGCACTGTTTGATGCCAGCGTCACAATTTGCTGTCGGGTGTTATTTGTCCTTGGATTCTTTAGTCATTGACGGAACCTTTCTTCCAAGGATATATAGAATAAGGATATTCGACTGGCCCAAAAAAAACGTGCCGTATTTTGTCGAGGAAGACGATTTCGTCACGACCAATGGCCGTCGAGTATTTGAAATTGAAAACATATAAATTGACGGTAACCTATGTTTTTTGACTCATTTCGCTGACAAATGTGATGAGATGCATATTGTAATTTATAGATCCAAAATCCAAACGTTTTTTGAATAAATAATTTATTTTAAAGTTATTTCCTAGAGGTTTGGTTTGGCCTTCTATATTCTGGTATTTGTCTACTAATAAATAATATCTTATTTTGTATTTCGATGTATGGAAATCCGCAAGTTTTGTATCTGAAGCCGCAAAGAAATTTCGCTCTATAGTGAGAAAAATGTTATATCTTTTTAGACGCGTAGAGTAACAAAATTTCTTATTTCAGATGTTCTAAATGTGAGTGCTTAATGTCAAAAATTAAAATATATACTTGAAATATTTCAAGTTATATCCTTTGCCCTTTGGAAGTAAACAAATATTGAAGAAAGTGTTGTGCCTTCACAGAATTTAAATTGGCATTAGGAATAGATTTCCTTGATTTAGTAATGATATTGCTCATAGAAATTGATAATATACTATTTTATATTCACTCGTTCAAGTGCTGATCTATTTTTAAATTGAATATTTATGTAAGTATTATGTATAACACGATATAAATAATTTAAGGACATAAGAAATTAAAATTTCAAGTGCCAATATTGATTATTTTTCCAGTTTTATTCAAATATATTGAAATTAATATGGAAACAAAAGTTCATAAATATTAGTTTGAAAAGCCATGTCAGAAGAGTAGGATTAAAGACAAAGTATTAAGGTAACATATATTTGCATAAAGTTTTAATAACACTGACAATTTTATTTGTTTATGTTTATTAATTAAAATTTAGTTGCAATTTATTTCATATTCTAATATTTTTGAGAAAATTTTACTTAGATACATACCTGAATATTATGCTGCTTTTTTATTTTAAAGTGTGCCGACTGTGCTGTTATTTTTATACTAGTAATATTGTATACTGTAGGTATTGTATTCATATATAGTTATATATATATATATATATATACTTTCTTTCTATGTGTACTTATATCCTTTATAGTCTTTCTAAGTGCATATAATACTACTTTTTTAAGAGAAGGCAGTTTTTAATAATCTATTGTTAATTCCCCTAATTCTGTGTCCCCTGGTTCTGCTATACAACAATTATATATTTTTTTATCATTACTGATTTTAAAAGTTTCTTTTCAAAGAATTTGACCATATATCTTTTTTTCAGAGTAATTGGGCTGTTCCTGAACAATATTGAATATAAATATTCAAAAATATGATAAACTGCATATCCTACTAAGTAGATCAATACCAAAATTCCATTAGAGAAATAAGTTAAAATTATGTTTTACTTGTATAATTTTCTTGCTATTTGTCCACCATTATTTGTGACTTAGAAATTAAATAGTCAAAAAGAATTTAGTACCAGTTTTTATTTCCCAAAAAAAATAATTGTTAAATAATTACATATTGCTTAAGATACAGTATATTATATTGTGTTTATAGTTGATAATTCTAGTTCTTAGTTGTTTATAGTTGATAATTAACAATATTTCTGATGTTAGATATTATATTAGATAAAAAATTTAATTACCAACAGCTACCTACCTATGTAGCTGCAGATTATTATATTGTGTAGTAGGTACTGTATAATTCTTTAGTTCAAGAAACAAATATCAGTACAAGTATATAACCAAAAAAATGTTGATGCAAATTCTTTGTATAACATACGTACCCCTATGGTATTCAACTTTTCATTGTTCTTTTAATTAGATACACAATAAGCACATTAATTCGTTTATTAAACAACCAAAACTCTAACTACTTAAATTCACAATATAAATATCACAATAAATGTATAAGCTTTGATCAATTCCTATTATTAATACCTGACGACTTCATACTTTATAACTACCAATGGCTATCCTACTAACACACTAGCCAACTAATAATAAATCTGTTCTAAAAATACAACATAAAGACATCGTTATTGCAATAATATAGAAATATATTCCATGTATCATTAACTACCTAGGTATAAATACAATACCCACATCTTCTTTTAAGCGAATAGTGCGTTAGGAGGCAGAAATATTGCCTGCATTGTACATCGTACAAATTGGCTAGAATTTATTAATATCCATTGCAAACATTTCTCTTTCAAAGGGTCTAAATGTTTTGTCTTTTTACTGTGTCCCTGTAATATGTTATCAATTAACAACAGTTATCAAATATGACCTGGACAATAATAATTGTTTTAACTTTTTTTCAAACTAAACTCTTTAAACAAACTATATAAATAAAATTTATCTCATAACCTAACTTGCTGCTAGAATTTCTTTCTTGTTATTCTATGTTCCTGTATTGTTATTCTTCACATTAACAATTTCTATGAGCAATATCATTACTAAATCAAGGAAATCTATTCCTAATGCCAATTTAAATTCTGTGAAGGCACAACACTTTCTTCAATATTTGTTTACTTCCAAAAAATGTCAAAGCATATAACTTGAAATAATATATCAAGTATATATTTAAATTTTTGACATGTACTCACATTTAGAACATCTGAAATAAGAAATTTTGTAATTCTACACGTCTAAAAAGATATAATAACATTTTTCTCACTATAGAGCGAAATTTCTTTTGCGGCTTCAGATACAAAACTTGCGGATTTCCATACATCGAAATACAAAATAAGATATTATTTATTAGTAGACAAATACCAAAATATAGAAGGCCAAACCAAACTCTAGGAAATAACTTTAAAATACATTATTTTTTCAAAAAACGTTTGGATCTATAAATTACAATAATAATCTCATCACATCTGTCAGTGAAATGAGTCAAAAAAACATAGGTTACCGTCAATTTATATGTTTTCAATTTCAAATACTCGACGCTCATTGGTCGTGACGTAATCGTCTTCCTCGACAAAATACGGCATATTTTCCTACATAGCCCGCTATAGGGAGTTGAATATCCTTCTTCTATATATCCTTGCTTTCTTCATATAGGAGTTGAATATGTCAAACCATATATTAATATCTTCAATAAAATGACCCAAATCTGTAGCCATTTTTTTGTTACATCCTGGAGTATAGCGAATAAGTGCTGTAGACACACTATGTGATAAAAGTTGAGCTGCCATTTTCACATTTTGTCTTTGGCTTTTTTCACAATTAATGTGGTTTTGGTTAATTTTCCAACAAGGATTGACTTCTGAACTTAGATTTATTAATGCTTCAATGGGCTCTTTTGTTATAGTGGTACCTTCTTTTAAGACAAATCCTGTATCTAACAACCAATTTCTAACTAGTTTTAGCAGATGAGGGGCATCGGCAAACATATATACATTAGAGTCAGTTTTTGGATGTTTAAAAAATGGGTTTTCAATATCAACATTGAGCTCCTTCCATAACCCAATATTACCACCTCCACAGTCAGGGTGCAGCCACACTATCCTAAAAACGGCGTATCGGCGTAACGGCGTAACGACCTTGAATCGATTTCCAGTAATTCTATTGGCTGAAATTTTTGACAGATGAATTTGACAGATAAAATTTCTGACAGATGAATGTTTTAGCCAATAGAATTACAGAAAATCTATTCAAGGTCATTACGCCGTTACGCCGATACGCTGTTTTTAGGATAGTGTGGCTGCACCCTCACTAACACATGCCACAACATTGTATGAAATACTGTGTAGTTCACTAATAATGTTGCATACTATATCTTTGGTTATTTTTTGATCAAACGCTATGTACACTGGTTGCTTCCATTTGAAAAAAAGTCCACGGGCTTGAACTACTTGCATTTGAGTGTGTGGTCCTAAAACTTGGTCTTTGGCTACATCATATTCTTCCACTGATTTTACTTTGACTTCATCAAATTGTAGAACAACAGCCTTTTCAAGGGAGGTAAAGTCTTCAGCAGCTAACTTCATCATTAATAGGACATCCTTTAAAATCCCTTGACTTATGTCCAAGTGAGATGCCCATCGTCTTAAGCTAGACAGAGCAGGCAATGGGTAATTTAGCGTGTTACGAAGATACAGGTAACATTTTTTACTGTAGTACCGCAAACAAAATGCTACTGAAATATCTTCTTGGGTCCAATGTACAACTTTTTTCTTCTTTGAAAGTAAAGAAATTTGATTTTTAGTACTTACTAGTGACTTAAATATGGTACTTACCATATTTAACAGTTTCTCGGCCATAACTGATTTGGTATTTTTATTAATTGACTGATTATAGCATTTTACTTTATAGTATTTGAGCATGCTTTTCAATCCTTTTATTTCTTTATTAGAATTACACTTAAGCTGGTTATATTTCAGCAATAAATCTTCATACTTTTGTTTATAATTGCCTTGGATAGATGAAGTACTTGGCTTGTTTGATACTTCCATGTAAGAAGGCACTACCTCTGGATCTGCTGTGGATGTACTCAGAATGTTTAAAATCTGGGAAGATTCAGGATTGCTTGTAGTTGTGACTAAATGGTGCACCACATCCTTTCTGCTTTTTTTCTCCACTCTTTTAGCACGGGGCGTATTCTCATTTGCTGTTTTCAAGGATGTATTGCCAACATTTAGATTCAAAGTGGGAACTGCAGTTTTCTTTAAAACTCTGCGCAAGGGTAAACCTAAAATAATATATCAATTTTATTTTTAGAATTTGTTTTTCATAGAAGTCAATTTGTTATTATCTACCTAATAGTTCATTTTGTAGGTCTCTTTCATAATCATTTGGTGTAAAATGTAATGAGCAAATTGTAGAAGTATTCGGGTTAAATTTATCTTCTCGTTTACACCGATTTATCCATTCCTTTCTAATTGTGGACGAAACTAAATCCTTTGCCTTAGGAAATGAATGAAATATCAAGCTAACACCTTCTTTCTTGAGTGTTAACCTATTGCTTTTGCATACAGCAACAGCACAAATCTGACCAGGCATAATAAAATCTAAAACCACAAATTAATACATATTACAGAACATATTTCTTCTGCGTTTTATTGTGAAACCTACCAATAACTTTTAAAACTAATTAAAAAACGATGTACAATATACAATGTTCAAATGTCAAATAAATATCACAAACGCTGAGTCTGGATAATAGACGATAAACACACACAAAATACAGTTTAAGAAACAGAAATACTGTTTGTATAAGGTCTTTCGAAGTTTATTATCACATCCAAAACGTTAAAACACTATAAAAATAAAAAAAGCGTCACTAACACCGAAGAAAAAGTCATAAAATTACACGTAAACACGCTGAATGCTGCTAATTCTGCACTGATGACTACGTCACGACCGTTCGACCTTGAGTGCTCAACATGCCAACGTTGTTGTTACGGGAGTAAACTATCCTCCTTGGGGATCCTTGAGGGTGCAGCCCAGTGCAGCCACACTATCCTAAAAACGGCGTATCGGCGTAATGACCTTGAATAGATTTCCAGTAATTCTATTGGCTGAAATTTTTGACAGATGAATTTGACAGATAAAATTTCTGACAGATGAATGTTTCAGCCAATAGAATTACTGGAAATGTATTCAAGGTCATTACGCCGTTACGCCGATACGCCGTTTTTAGGATAGTGTGGCTGCACCCTCACAGTTCTGTTTGACGATTCATTTGACACATTTGAATTTGATTTGAAATTTTGTGGATTTGTCAGTCTTTACGGAGCTTATTTTATGTTATTTATTATTTATTCTACTACTGATAGTTGTATAAAGGTAGTAAATCTAGATGGAAATTGTGGCAGAACTTAAATTAACAGTGACACTATGGCGATTTATCGAAAAAGACTCTAAAATAGTTGGTTGTGTAGCGTGCGGTAAATCTCGGCAAAAATTGAGTGAAATAATGGAACAACTTTTCGCTAGTAAGTGACTATATAATATACATATAAACCGATCATTTATGAAATTCACTTACTAAATTATATATTTTTCTTGCATTTTAGCTTTTATTTATTACTTGTCAAAGATTAGATGTCAAAGAATTTAGATACATTAATTTGACTTACCTGCTTCAGTAGCGTATCGGATGTTTGTGTTAATAAATACTTATTATAACTTATCTATTTTTATTAGAATTATATATTTTTATAACAATTTTAATAACTACCAACATTTACTCACAACGTAAAATAAAACAACAAATTATTGAGTCTACCCCACGTCTACCCTACATCATAGTTTTACCCTTGTTTATATATTAATAGTTAGTCAATGTGCCTGTATAAGTCGATGCTGCCAACTGGTGGCAGAAATTAAAACGTAAAAAGGGGCGGAGACAGAGAAATAGAAGGGATAGAGAATGAACTTCAACATGCGCAGAAGGTCTAATCAAGTTGGGCGCCATATTCCAGGTCTCCGTGTCATTTTGTATATAGGTGGTAATCTATAAGTAATCAAATACCAATTTGCTGTTTTCAACCATACGGGGGGCAATTTAAATTTAGTGAAATTCTATCATTTATTATGGTTAGTTAACATTAATATGATTTATTTAATTATCAGTTTCAAAACTGCGTACAATATTGGTATATAATACACTAAATATACGAATATTCTGACAAAAGACGCTACGGACAGATGACCTTTTCGTCGTTAAACACTCGAATGCCATTAAATAAGTATTTACAATTATTTCATGTTTACTTGTACAGAATTACGGGTTTCAATTTAAAATTTTTGCAAATTTGGTAAAAATTGTTCTAAACAACTTTTTGTTCAAGTTGTATATTCATAAAAAACATTTGGTCCATAATTATTTTTGATGGTTACTTACTTTGTATTTTTAATATAAACCTAGAAAAAATATGTTTTTGTTTTATTTTTTTTATTCGTCCCTTCAAATTGTGTTACAAAAACTGTTACATAACATGTCCTCTAACAAATATTTTCATAATACATAAACATCATTGATTTTATTATGGGTATTATTATTAGTATTTATCGTGGTTTTTGTCGACAAAAAAAACTCAGTCTTGTAATACAACTTCAATTTTATATTTCGTAAAATTATTTTGATAGAAATTCAATTTGTCAAAATTCAAGTCATTAATATATTGATAAACAACCCAAATTATTCCTAAATATTTTATTATAAAAAAACTGTTACCGGTAAGTTTGTAAAACATATTATCGTTTGTCTTAATACTACAAAAAATAATTTATTTTTTGCACAAAAGAAGCTTGTTGATCCTTATTTGTCCATACCAAAATTCTGTATGTACAACATACATATACCTAATTTATTATTAAGAAAATTAGATTATATGATCTCAGAATTTTAAGATTTTTTTTTTAAGATAAAATAGTTTCTTCTCAACTGTAATATTGTCAACTTTGGCCTGTATTTTATCTATTTAAAAACGTGGGATTGACAATCCCCTGATTAAGTTTCATTGCATCAAATACCTTTGCTATAAATCCTGGCTCACAATTTAAGGCCATTGCAAAATGCTTTTGAACTT